AAAAGCCACCGGGGACGGGACAGGGGGGCCGACGCAGCGGCGGGAGGAGACGGCGGCACTAGCGTCAGGGCGGAGGGCAGATCTCCCAACATCTGATGCTGGCTGCCCGTGCAGAGGGAGGGTGGAGACAGAAACTTTCCCTCCGGCTCCAGGCGGGAGCTGCCATCAGGAAGAACAGAGGGAACGCTGCTGTAGCTCTGTCCAGCAGTTCCTAAGACAGCCAGGAGAGGGGATGGGGGATGACCTTGCCAGGAGGCGCAGCCCCAAGGTAAGTGACCCCGCCCCTGCACTTGTTACTTTAGGACTGACTGTGCTCATCACAATAACGGGGAGTGATCTAAGGCTGTTACACCTGCTGTTCCTCGGGGAGTGTCCCCAACAGCTAGGGAGAGACTTAGCTCTGGGCTGGATGGAGCCCAGGGGAGAAGTACCATGCCCAGAGCAGGCCACCTGCAACCTGGAGAAGGAGAGCATGGGGACAGGACAGCCAAGGACAAGCGGGCGCCAGGACCAAACCCCGATACAGCTGCAGCGGGACAGGACAAAAACCTGAACGTCACAGCTCTCCCCCAAGTACCTGGGGAGACACCTGCAGCACAACAGCAGAGGGCCACTGGCAGAGAAAGGGCTTCGTGTACAGGGAGACTCCTGCCCTTCCCAGCTCTGCAACAGCTAAGAGGGCTGGCGTCAGCAAAAGAAAGCCACACGAGTCCTCTTCCGCTGGACAGGGCAGGCCTCGACCGAAAGATGCAAGTGGCCTGTCCTGGCGGGAAGGCGTGCCCGGCTGGACTCCCGAGAATGGGAGCTGGCAGAGGGATGGGTTAGTGGTAAAACGACTTCAGAGGATTTGGGTAATAAGTGACAGTACTGGCAATACAGGGGCCATGGTCCCCAAACAGGACGGAGACTCCGATGCTGTGGTCTCGCCCTGCAGGGAGGACCCTCTGCAAATGAGTGACCACAGGCCTGGTTCAGCACTGCCTACTGGGGGGCTGCTCCTCCACTCGGGCTGCCACCCCAAGAGCCTGGGTCTTCTCCCAGATCCAGAAGCCCGAGGACAGCCTACCCTGTGACACCAACCATCCAAAACGAACACAATTCTGGTTTGGTCCGAGCTGAAGGTAGTGCTCCTGAGGTCCGGTGGCAAGCCCCTCCTGACCTAGCAGACGGAGCTCATGGGAAGCCAGCACCCACCCTCCCCACGTGTCACAGCCTGGCAGGGGTGCAGGCAGCGGGTTGGAGCTCTGTAGCATAGATGATGAACCCTCTGTTTGGGCGGCCACCCTAGTGCCTGCTCTCGGCTCTCCTAAGCTGGGGTCCGAAGGAAGGTTCAACAAAATGAGGATGAAAACAAGACTACACGTTGGGATCCAGACACCCAGGTACACAGACATCCCACCTCTTGCCAGTCCTATGAGCTCCTGGAGGGCCAGAGCTGATGGTGGGTCCAGAACAGCAACAGAAGAGCTCAGTGTTAACCCCACGGAGAAGGGCTCTTCCGGAGTGCGGCCGCAGCTCCTGGCTTATCAAGTCCGAGAGGCAGGGGCCTGCTTCTGGCTCAACGCTCAAGCATCAGGAGTGCAGGCACCTGGGCCGCTGCTCCTTGGGCGTAGAGAGTGTGGGGAGGCACGACGGCCTAGCTCCACAGACTGCTCGACGCCTCTCCTGACTGCCCTGAGCCACAGCCGTGGAGGTGGCAAGGGTTTCCTCAGGCCTGAGCATCTACTCCCCACAAACGCATGACCTTGGCAAAGCCTACGAACTGCCCCGGTGTGCTCACCTGACTGGGGCTAAGCGACCGCCTGGAGGCGGGTGCACAGACCCTTGGCCGGAAGGGCCCCCCACAGATACCCCATCATCCAAGACTGGCAAAGACGGCCCAAACCCAGCTCAGCCCTCTCCGCTAGCTCGCAGGGAACAAGGCCGCTGGAGGGAGGGTGGCTCAGGAACCAAGCCGGAAAGTGTGGGGTAGGGGAGACCACACGGGGGAGAGGTGACCCTACTCTCCAGCTTTCGTGAGACAAGCGAGTCATGAGCTCATGGGCAAAAATGAGCCTAGCTACTATTTACTGAGTATTTATTCAGCTCAATTACTCGTACCCATTACTCATTCACACAGAACCTAAGAGATCGCGACTATTAAGCAAATATTGCCAAAGGGACCTGGGGGCTCCGAGAGAGTAAGTGACATGCCAATACACTAAGTACCCAGAGCCAAGAGTTGAGCCAGGGCCTCCCCACCAAGCCCCAGGGCCTCGGCAGCTCCTTGTCCCCTACACTGCAGTTCCCTCTTCAGACCTGCCGCAGCCACAGAAGCCCACGGCAGAACTAGAGATGGCACCTGAGGTCGGTCCTGGAGGGCGCACCCAGTGAGCAGGGATTCACCCGTTTGGTGCAGAGAGGTGCTTTCACCGACAGGAGGCGAGGTGAGGCTGCCTGCTGGGCTGCTTTCAGGTGGGTGCCCTGGTGCCCAAGGAAGGGTGGGAGGCTGCTCTGAGAGGCCCCTTTAAGGTAGCAACACGACCCCGTTATCAGGGAAAACAGTGCGAGTGGCCTCCCCCTAGATGCCTTTTTCAGGCCAAGAAAGTGGAGGCAGACCTCACCCCTACAGCTTAGAAATGGTGAGCGAGTAAATGGAGAAAGAGCGAAACGGACACGAAGCAAACGGAGCGGGGCCTGCCGGGCAGCTCTGCAGGCCGAGACCATGGCTGGCCCCGTGCTCTGACACTGCCTGGGGCGGGCAGGCGAGAGCCCGTTCTCCTGCAGCCGGGAGACCAGCTCTGCGCGTTCTCTAATTTCAGCCAGTCCGAGGAAGCCCACATCTACAAAATAGAGAGTGAGTGACAGCTGTTCATTAAAAAAAATTTCCTACCAGGCCGTCTAAAATCCAATTTGCACACTTTCCCCTCCAATGTGTAAAAGGGGCCGTGGTTCTAATACCAGCGAGGTGGTCTGTCTAGATGCGGGAGAAAGTGAACCGTAAGCACCGTGCAATCCGAGGCTGTCCCCCCCTCATCCCACAGGTCCGCCGTCTGTGTCAGGGAAGACACCCGAGCCGGGGAGGGGCCAGTGGGCTGTGTTGGGGGACCACGGCTGGTTATACGGTACCTGATATCTTCTGCTGTTCCTGAGAAAAGTCAATCCCTTCTCCAATAGAGCTCATGATTTTCTCAATCTGCAACGGAAGAAAGGAACAGAGGAGAGGCAGTCAGGCTTGGGGTCAAGGTGGCCAGCTCCCCGTCCGTGCTGCTGCGGCTGCCCTCCGGGTCTATGTCAGATGATTCCCAGGCCCAGTACCAACCTGCACCCTCCACCACTCAGATCTCTAGCCCCAGCCCAGTAGGGTCCGGAGAATCACTTTGAAGGGAGATGGTGACAGCCTGGCCTGGCTGCTAGAAATGCCACAGAGCCTCTCGTTCACGGCATTTATCCCCCGCCCCCCACAGTTCTGCTGGACCCCGCAGAGACCGGGCAGAGGGTGCAATGGCAGGCCGGCCCTGGCACGTTTCACTGGTCACGCTACAACTGAACTTCCCGGCGAGTGCGGGCTGCGCCAGCTTTGTCCTGTGCCATGCCAACGTGCCGAGAGCAGTGCCCGGCAGATCGCGGGCACTCACCCGAGTGGCTACGGCATGACCACTGCTGTGGTGGTGCGGACCATTTCTAGAGCAGAGATAGCAGAGTGCCCGCACACGGGCTCCTTCTGGAAGCCCAGGCGAGGCAAGCACATACCCGAATGGAAGGCCTTCTGCTCTCTGAACTGCTCTGCACTCAGGAGCTAAGGCCACATCAGACCCTTCCTCTATCCACAGCGGAGAGCGCCAGTCTCAAACACCCAGCTGTCGCTAGCACTGCCCCCCTGTATGGACCACCTGTCCCAGCCACCTGGCTTTGGTCACTCTGGGCCAGGTCCAAGCCCCTATGCCTGGAAACGTGGTCAGGGGCTGGACCAGGGAGTGAGGAAGAGCCTCCTTCTCTTCCTCCCCTCCTCCTTCAGGGCTGTGTGATAATGAGCTCATTCACTGCTCTTCTCCAAAGAGATGAAGACAGGACCTTTTGTACCAGTCTTGGATGCTTTTTGCTCTCAGTGCAAGTCGGGAGCCTGGGTCTGACAATTAGAACAACAACTGCCCAGCCAGGCTCCAGCTGGCAGACAAAAAGCACATCCAACCCCGGCAGGCACCACCTCTCGCCTGCAGTCGGGAGCCTGGGGAGGTGTTTTCCTCCAGCAGGCTGCGGCTCAGGCTGTCATCTGATTGACTGTAAACTCCATCCAGGGGCTCGGCAGAAGCAGAGGGAAATGCAACAAAGCTGATGGGGGGAAAACTCAGGGTGTGCCTCCACTAAGTGGCCCAGCAGCCCCACAGCAGCACCAGAGCACAAGAGAGGGTCTGCCCGGCTCTGTAAAGAAAATGCACCCCTCCACCCAGGCATCTCGGGCTCTGCCCTTTTCAAAGCAGCATGGTACAAGAAGGCAACGACCAGGGCAGACAGGCCAGACCTGAAGTAGGGCCTTCACCTTCCCAGAGTCTCCAGTTTTTTGTTTTGTTTTATTTTTTAAAAGAGGTTTTTTGCCTTAGTACATGTGCGTTTGTGGGGTGGGGGGCAGGGGGAGAAAGAGAGACAGTGAGAGGGAAAGTGAGAAGTCACCCCCTAAGGGAGATGGCCACACCACAATCCCTTCTCCATTCTCCTCTCGGGATCTTGGGCACGCACGCACAAGCGCCCGGCGTGAGTTTAAGCCACTGGGTCTGGGACTCGAACCATGGTTGACTACGTGGGAGTCCAATGACATAGCCATAGGGATTGTGGTGTGGCCATCCCCCCTGGGGGGTGATTTCTCGCTTTCTGTCTCTTTGCCTCTTTCTGTCTGTCTGGAGAGCGCACGCACCCTATAGCAAAAACCTCTCCAAAATCTAGCTGAAGATCCAGCTCGCAGACGATCCTTAGTAAAAGGTTAATTCACTTTCTGAACTCTGCTCTGCTGCCCTAGTAAAACCTATTAAAAATGTTTTTTATGTTTACACTAATACTTATTTTTTGAAAAGTAATACATCCACATGATCCAAAATGCAAAATAAAAATGGGTTATTCAGGGGCCAGCAGGTGGCGTGGTGGTTGGGGCACTAGACACTCCCACGTGGGCGACCACGGTTTGAGTCCTAGACCTGGTGGCTTGCTTTCTCACTTTCCCCCTCTCTCTCTCTGGTCGAATTAAAGTAAATGAATGAATAAATAAAAAAAGGTTATTCAGAGGTAGAGTCTTGCTCCTCTCCTGTCTCAGTTTCCTAGCTCTTCACTCTGGAGGCCGCCGGTGTGGCCAGTTTCTGGTGCGTTCTTCAGACCGGCTCTGTTCACCTGTAGGCACACAGGAGCACGCGGTGAACAGAGGCACTCCACATGCGCTGCCGGGCCACAGTCCACAAAGAACACTGTTCTTAGTTTAATGTGTGAGCTATCATCATCTGGTATACAGCAATTTCACTCACTTAACCAGCCCCTAATTGATCTGTGCAGTTTCTTTTTCTTCTTTTTTCCATTTAAATAATTGTTTTCTTTAACTTTATTTATTTATTTATTTATTTATTTAAATTTTACCGGAGAGCAACAGAGTGAGAGAGAGAACGAAAGGGGGGGTGGAGTGAGAAAGCAAGCCGCCAGATCTGGGATTCACACTGCGGTCAGCCACGTGGGAGTCCAGTATCCTTAACCACCATGCCACCTGCTGGTCCCCTGTGTGTAATTTCTAATCTTTTCTTATTCTAAATAGTACTATGAAGAATACGGTTTTCATACCTTTGGTACACACGTGCAAGTATTATATCTGTAGGCTGATTCCCAGGTACTATTTTTTTAAAAATAATTATTTAATTTGTTGTTACTATTTATTATTATTTTCAATTTGACCAGAGAGAGACAGAGAGAAAGGGAAAGTGAGAAAGCAAGCCTCCAGATCTGGAACTGACACTATAGTCGGCCATGTGGGAGTCCAGTGCCTTAACCACTATGCCACTTGCAGGCCCCACTTAAGTACATTTTTAGTGTTTTTCGAGGGGCAGAATCTTATGACTTAGCCACAGGCCTTAGGATCCCAGTTCCCACCCTATGTCCAGTTTTGCTAAAGGCCTTTCAGAAGAGGGGGGCTTGGTAACTCCTCTTGCCGGTTTACCCCACTCGCAGCAAGTGCCCACTCAGCAGTAACACTGCTCTTTGCACAGATTTAAACTGTTCCTGTGAATGCAGCACAGGGTCTCTATTGTTCCCCTGGAGCATCTCTTCTTCCCCCAGAAGGCCTTAGGGATGTAGGGAGACAGCTCTTCTCTTCTCGGCCAAGCTGTTGCCCAGGCTGCCCGGCCCAGCCTGGTGCTAAGCGGCTCACCAGTGCCAGTTCCCGCAGTCTGGATTACCCAGTCGGATGGCAAAAGCTAAGGCTGGGTGAGGAGTGCATATTCAGTAACTACCCGCTTGACTCGCCTTCTTTGTCTTTTCTACAACTCCTACAGGAAAAACATAGGGTGTTCGAGGTGAGGAAACTTCCTCCTACATAGGAGGTAGGTCCTGGTTCCTAGAATGGCGACACCCGTCCCTGGGTGCCTCCTGTGTGAGAATCACTGTGGGAGGGGCCGGAAGGTTAGAATCAATCAAACACATTCTATTTACCATCCAGACTCCCCTGGCCTGGCTCATGCTATATTGAAAACCTACGGAATGCATGAATAAAGGTGTAGCTTCTATTTATTTAGGCCTTGTTTTCCCAAGGCCATGCGGAGTGCCGAAGGTGGGAAGAGCTGATATGAAGGGATGACTCCAAGGCATCCTATGCAATAAAGCCAAGTCACTGCCTGTCTAACACTCAAAGCCCCACCTGGCCTGGCCCACCAATATCCCCTGACTGCATGAACTGGAAGATCTTGCCAAAAGACCTCTTGACATCCCAGCAGACAGGGACAGTCCTGTGGCCTGGTACCTAGGGGAACTGGACCCTACATGAACAACCACGGTTCAAGTCCCAGACTTGAGGCTTGAGAAACACACTGGGCGCATGAGTGTGCATGCCCAAAATCCCCACGGGATGGAAAAATGGAGAAGGGTTTGTAGTATGACCATGCCCCATGGGGGTGCATGCTCTCGCTCTCCCCCACTCTAGTGAGCACATGGCTCTGACTTACAAAAAAAAGAGGGAGAGAGAAAAAAAAGAAAGCGAGTGGGCAAGAGGAAGAGGGTCAGGAATAATCACAATGGGTAGAACTGAGTGCCCCCACTCCTTTCTGCTTGCCCCAGGAGTCGCCCTCATGTCAACTACAGAAGGCCAGCAGAAGCCCAGGTTTCTATGGTCTCCTCCTGGGTGGGTGTGGGGGTGCTCCAGACCACTGACCAGCTGGGAAATGTAAGTGGACACGCAGAGAGACCTCACCCCAACGAGGAAGGATGCTTTACTGTTCTGTGAACCGCTGCAGCTAGGAGAGGGCGACAGGGTCCTAGGCTACGGAGGAACCCAGGGTACTGGGCAGCGTATAGCGTGCTTGGAAACCAGGACCCCTTTCTCAGCGACTGGAACCTGCTCTGTTGGAAGCTTGGGGCTGGGCGGGACCCAGCAGTGAAGAGGTCCAGTTTGGCAAGACTGCAGGTCCCCACCCTCGCCACAGCAGAGCAGTCTACGGTGTGGTCCTGCCCAACCCCTCGGCCTGGGTGGGGGAGGCAGGGAGGAGCTGGAGCTGGAGCTAGAGCGCATAGCTCTCCACACCTTGGCCCTGGTGGCCCAGAACCAGCACAGAGGGAATACGATCATCTGAGTCTAGACAAGGAAGAGCCTTCAGACACACAGACACTGCTCGGGTCTACACACTGCACGCAGCGCGAACATCTAGGCTGGAGTACAAACAACCTGATTAGGCTGCTTTCCCAGAAACGTCCGGCACCCGAGGGGAAGGAAGAGGCAGGTGGAATTAACGGAAGGGGAGGGTTGCAAGGGCTCTTCTTTTTCGGATGTTTAGGAAAAGTGACATTTCTGGAGAGACATGGGAGGTGACGCTGCTGCATACTGAACGTCTCATAAGCCAGGGTAGAGAACTTACATTGTTGTTTGGTAGGGTGAAAGTTATTACCATAATGGGACTCTTGTGCTCAAAAAAATGCTTGGAAATGTTCCATTTCCAGAAAGTAGTCAGGATGATT